TGAAAACTTACCTTTGGTCATTCTTATACCGTACCGATGAATAACCACATACGGCTATATGCTTCTGTGTATGCTCGGCAACTGGGACTGACTGCCTGTAACCGCTGCCGTCAGGTGGTGGAGGACGGGTACGAGTTTTTCGCCAAGCGGCAGCTGGTGACGCTCTTCTCGGCGCCCAACTACTGCGGCGAGTTCGACAACGCCGGCGCCCTCATGTCCGTCGACGAGAGTCTCATGTGCTCCTTCCAGATCCTGAAGGTAAGGCGCACGCAGGAGGGGTATCTTTGTATTTTGATCAGAGGCGGGATCGGGGTGGTGTTTGAAGGAATGGAAGAGAGCACTGCTTCCCCAGCCAGCTTTATACCTGCCTGGTATTTTGCGTGTGTCACGCTCGTGAGCATGTCCAGGTTTGACGATTTTTTCGTCATCGGCTGCGATATGTCTCTTTGATTCTGACGTCATATTTCGAGGCTCTCATCCACACGGTAATATGGGTGCGTTGCCCTGTGCGATACGGCGTGGGTGTGATTCCCGGTGTTAGTCTTTCGTAATGCGTTGGTTGTTTGCGTCGGTACATCCGCTGTTGCCGACTGGTGCACAGCTTTCAGAGCTTCCTTCCTTCCCGGATAAAGTGACGCACCAAACTGGCGTTAATTTCCCACCAAATGCGCCACCAATTTACACTAGGCTGAGCATGGCCTCCCATACCAGTCTGAATACTTGTAGCTGACCGTGTCCTCCCATACGAGTTTGGCCGTGCACTCCAATACTAGCCTAACCATGACCTCAGATGCTATATAGTCTGACAGCATCCGCCATTTCACAGCCGACAGACCGAAAGAAGATGTACGGCGGCGTGAACGCCGGCCGGCCGGCCATCCCGCCCCGGGGCGGATTCCCGGGCGTGAACAAAAACAAGAAGAAGTAGGCGGCGGACGGTGGGCAGCTGCGGCGCGGTGACGGTACGGTCGCCGACGCCGCTTTGTTAGTCTTTACCGGGTGGGAGGGAGACCCTCAATGCGCGCGCTGTCTAAGCGCAGCGCGACGCGTCTTGCGCAATGTGCGCCGCGCGCGCGCGCGCGCTGCTAGGTTTCGAGATGACGGTGTGCCGCGGAGGCCGGCGAGTTTTACGTTTGACCCGCGGCGGTGCGCGCGCCGCCGCCGCGCGCGCGCGCGCTGTGTCGTGTCTAGTGCTCAGCGTCCTGTGGTGCGTCTGGGCTGGGGCTGGCTGTCTCAGTCGCTAGCTGGCGCAGTACAAACCGTGTCTATCTCCGGAGCGGCAGGGCGCCATGTCAGATGGATAATATACATACTTCTCGAGTCGATATCGCGTGTTCCTAGGCCGGTGATGCGCTGTGGAGGGTTGGGAGGGACGGGGACAAACCAGGACCAGATGTCACCGAGGGGCTTCGGCGTGGGAGGCAGCGCGGATATCCTCTCTGCCATAAGTTATCAAGGCTCTGACCTTTCAGCGCGAATCGTATGATGAGCTTTACACGCACATCCCCGTGGCAGCGAACAAACAGCTCCCGTCATTTACAGGTCGGTGATCGGGCACCCAGCAACTATTCGGTCGACGCACCACGACCCCAGAGCCCCCCCCCCCCCCCCCCACCTCCACACAACGAACGGCGGGGGCGGTCGGATCAGCCCGGCAAATCGCTGCAGCGGCGCACGAATTACGCAACAAGATCGCGACCTGGTATCGGTCGAATTCATTCAGCTGGTGGCTGCACGCGCCCGGACCGGTTCACCGTTGCGTCCGCACTGAACGGACCGCTCGTCGGCAGGAGGGGGGGGGGGGGGGTACTGGACGGGTAGGGGGTCGGGTGAATGGATGGCGAACAGGAAAAAAGGACCGGCGGGCGAGGATCGTCAGGAAAGTGAACGCTGATTCAGCGATAATATGTAGCTATCCTTGAAGACAAATAATGAGAGCGATCACTCGATATGCGAATCTGGGAACCCTTGCTCGCGAAGTATCGTGTTTCATGTTCAAAATGACTGATCAGTTCGACACAATTGCACATATATCTCAAAACATTCTACAAACGCCAGCGTCACAACAAAAGGCTTCCTGTCCACTTCTCTGAAACATAATTAGCTAGGTCATCCATCAGCCGATACGATTCCGCGATCTAGCACGCAATCGTACGCACGCAAACGCTCCCGCACGCTCCCATCGGCCGCCCGGTCAGGTGACCTACACGGGAGCCCCAGCCGGCCGGCCACGTGACTAGACAGGCGATGACCTGTCACGGTCTTCAGCCAGCCGTTCAGGTGACGTGCAGCGGTTCCCAGCCGACCGGTCACGTGACATGCACTAGTCCTTGCTGACCGGTCAGGTGACCAGCAGCGGCCCCCAGCTGTTCTGGCCGTGCAGCAGCAGTCGGTCTCGGCTGAGTCGGTCCAGGCGCGCCTGCTCTCGCCGCACGTACGCCACGATCGTCTCCAGCCGGGTAGCGTCCTTTCCGCCGCGCGAGAACAGCCGCCGCCAGAGGGCGCTGGCCAGCACTCTGTCGTCCTGCAGACCCTCGTCGTAGCCCAGCAGCGCCGCCTGCCGGCCGCGGCGCTAAACGTCAGGTCGGCTCCGTCGGGGGCATGACGGAGCCTGACACCTATTGCCGCCCAAGGCAGGATGGTGGGGAGCTCTCGAGTCATCGTCATCGTCTCGAATCACATTACATCGTCCAGGAAGTAAGGTCTGGTAATGGTGCAAAGCACCCTGGATCGCCTGGAAATTGTGCCAAATCCGCTGGATCTACTTACCTGAAAGTGGTGCGACGTCTGCTGGATTTGCTCGTTGCGTACCGACGCGGCCACCGATCCGAGTTTTTTGCTGCGCGTCTCGAGGTCCTCCCACATGGCTGTGATGAGCTGGCCGCGGCAGAACTTTCCCTCTGCGCCGTCATCGGCCAGCCGCACACACAGCATCCACACGTGCAGTTCCGTCACCAAGTACCTATGGGGTGGGGAAACAAAGTCAACATACATTCACAAGCAGAGCGACGTGTCATAGGGAGATACAGTCTCATTCCAAATAATCACGCGTGAACAATGATGCGCCTGCCACATGCATATTGAGCGATAAATGTAAATGCGATGAAGTAAATTATTTCATTATCATGAAACAGGGATGAGGGCAGATATTTTTCTCACACAGTTAATAATCATTGCATTGCACCATCTCTGATCAGGCGTTCCCCGCCCCGGCTCTCACCATGAGAAGAACGTGTCGGGCATCTCGCAGAGCTGGAAGAACTGCACGTAGTCGGGTCCATCGGCGGCCGTCTCGTACAGCAGGTACCCCACGGCCCGCAGTCGGGCGCGGCTCACGTTCAGCACACCCAGCTTTCCCAGTACGTTCCGGATGGCGCCGCCCGGAGCCACCAGGTCCCGGAGGCCGGCAGAGACGGGAGAGGTGTGGAGGGAGGCGACGGAGGGACTGGCGAGGGGTGATAGTAGGTGTCTATGGGAAGAGGTGGCATGGTGGGAGGTTGCTGAGGTGGTGAGAGGGCTCAGGAGACCAGGCAGACATGTGGTGGTTACAGATGCTGGATGGAGAGATGCTGAGGAGAGGAGGCAGCGAGGGGATGCTGACGTTAGACGCAGTGGTGCCAGCAGCAGCCTCATTTCTGCTCCTGGAAAAAGATAGGAGGGAGGGTCAGCCTTAGCTCACTGGCAAATTACCACATTTAGGCGAAATACTCCTCAAAGAACTTGATGCTACTTAATCAAAATAAGTTGATTTCCTCAGATAGCAACAAAACTTATAAACCAAGTACCAACTTCCTTTGGAAGTTGGTTTCAGAAACCAACTTCCTTTGGAAGTTGGTTTGTGAGTTGTAAGTCATAAGTTTGTAAGTTGACGTCATTTTAATCAACAATTTAAATTGCTCAGCCACAATGCAGATATGCATCTGAGGTGATAAACCAACTAATTCCAGACAAAGGATTCTGGGTGAGTGTGTCATTAACAGCAGCAAATGACAGTCATAATACCACAACCTGAACCTAGTGAATTTGCCAGAGCCATAATTCAGTCATCAGTGAGGTGCCAAATAATTACAAGTGAGGAACTGTGCACTTATATTTTTGAATCCTACAGTTTAAAATATAACACTTTTTCAATTCTTTATCAGGTAATAAACAACAGATTTAGCCTTTAGGTAGGTAGGTAGGAAGTAGGTAACATTTGACCGTGTTACTTGTACTGTTATGTAACCTTCAACTTACGTTTGTTTGTAAGGTAATGTGAAGGAACTGACCCAAAGACTTGTTATCTTCTAAGAAATCCAATCAGTCGGGTAATTCTAATGCAAGAAACCTTACCTGAAGTTCGATGCTGGTCTTTAGATATCTGAACTTTAATAAAATTACTCAAGAATCGAATCAATCGAATATTGGCAGTGGGTATAGGAAATTGTAATGATAAGGGTATGTCTCTTGCGCGCCGGAACTGCTTCTAACTTATGAAGGTCGCCATGTTGTGTCTAAAATGCTGCACTACGGTGGATCTTACTCATCTTCTCTACAATCACTCGTCAGGCTCGTCAGCAAATATAACGCCATTAGGACTCACGTCTGAAGAAATCGACAAGCTGAAAGGAGAAAACGTCCAATGTGTTTTCCTCATTACATATTATAAAGCATGACCATCGTCATGCTGGCAGTGACATTCGTTTCCCCGACAAATTGCAATCGGCATTCGGCTGGCCGAAAACAGCGCTAAACCGTTTTCAGGATATTATTTTGGAATATATGCCGCGACCATCCATCCACGATTGTAGCTGTGCATAAATATCATGATAATAAAAGCTAGACACCCTTTCCCGCTGTAATACTATCGAAATCAGTAACTGAGCTCTTGCAACCCATTATCATTCCATGGTTAGTTACGTGAAGTAACTTCATGCCACAGTATCCTGAATATTCATTCACATACCAGCGCCACCCGGTCCATTCCCCCCCCTTCATCCTATTGAATGCAGATCACAGCATAAACATGCTACCTGTATTTAAACCACTCTCAACCGGTACAACGCAACAATCCACTTCCATTCGGCTCGGCCACAATCCCGATGAACCAACAAGCCAGCTAGCTACCTTCGGCAGACTCGCACCAGCCCCGTGAAAATATTCCAACAAACATCCCATTCACTGCGTTGTGTACAAAAGCCAAGGCAGTCGCGAGTCGCAACCGCCGGTGAGCGGCAGAACAGCCGCACGCGCGCAGGAACGCCCCACGGGCCGGTATCCTCTGTCGAACGGGGACGGACTGGGCGTCCCCACTGACGGCAGTCGCTCAGAGTCGCGCGGTAAGGCACCCAGCAGCACCACACGGCCCGTACCGGCGCCACCCGGCCGCATGGCTCCGATGGAAGAGATCGCAACGGCCGATCACACAGGGCACGCCTGAGGCCATACGGAAGAGACGCCAGCGGGCCATCACAGCCGACTGGAACGACAGCCCCGGACACTAACGGACAGACGACTGGGCTCCGGCGAAAGGGCAGCCGCGGACGACGGGCAGACTTCGAACTCGGCTAACGGGCGGGCCTCGGGCTAGGCGGATACAGACTTCGCTACCGATACATTCTTCGCACGTCCTGACCTCGGCGGCTGGGACTGCGACTGGGCAGAGGCAGCGGCCGGCACACGGACATAACTGGACGCATACGACCGCCGCCCAACGCCACTTTTTCACGGATTCGATCGGTAAATAACTCTCCCGTCGGACCATTATACGTCAAACACGACAGCCGTTACAGCAGTGACTTATCGTGAGCTTCGTAGCGCCCGCCCCGACGTTCAATAAGGGATCGCCTTTATGCCGCATCAGGTGGCGGGGGGGGGGGGGGATAGCTATAACCCCCAGTGTAAACTGTGAACACGGGTAACTGCAGTTGAACGCAGGCGCTCCCGGTGAGCGCTCACAACTGTCTCAGGACGACGGTAACGCTGCGACGGTGGCGGGCGGGGACGGTATGCTGCCATGTACTTCTCGGGAGTCGGCAGGACGCGTACTTTCTTGGACATTGTGTACTTAACTTCTCGAGGTGTCTTTCCAGGCCCAAACTGTCACCTCCACACACACCGAACGCGTCGACCGCTCCCGTGATCACTGATCATCACTGCACCGGTGCTGCTACAAACCAACATCGCCGAACGACGCCACGTAACAAGCCGCGCGTCGGGGAAGCATCCACTCCCACACATTCACCTCCGGCCGACCCGACCTCAGTCAACCCTCCTCGCCTTTAGGCAGCACCTCTCTTCTAAAGCCAGCGCCCTGTCTCGGATCACTTCTCTCCCAAGTTACCACGTGTTCCTCGTAATACGTCTCTTCTCATGGCGCCGTTTTTTCACGCCGCTATCCTCACTGCTCTGCCTAGCGGCTGGGCGTGCCCGCCCCGATCCTATCCAGCTCCTCGTCCGCGTTGTTGGATCTCATCTCCTGCAGAGTGTGTGCCAGGCGCGTCCACTCGTCCTGGCGCGGATGGGCCAGCCTCTCACCGACATCGTACACCCAGACGCGGCCGCGATCATCGCCGACGGTGATGTGGAGACCGGACGGTGTCCAGGAGACGCGATTCAGCGCGGCCACCCCACCATCCACCACTGTGCCGGCAACGGGCACCTCCGTCTCCGCGTTCAGGTTCCAGACGTCGAGTCGGCCCGTGCCGTCCACCGCGGCGAACAGCGCAGGGTGGAGCGGGGACCAGGCGGCGTCGTACACGTAGTCCGAGTTGTCCTCGAACGAGTACAGCGGCTTGGGCTCCTACCGCGAGAACAGAAGGGCTGTGAGATGGGGTGAACGAGAGGAGGGGACAAGGGGACGGGAACGGAAATTCTGTTCAGGAATAAATCGAGACGGAGTTGTGCTATTTAAACCACCTTAGACCGGCTGCAGGGAGTGATATAACACATACAAAACGCAGAAGGGGTGTTTTATTTATTCAAAGCACGAACCTGCCGCAAGAACTGCTGCAATGGGATAACCAGCCACTCGTGCAAATTGAGCCATTACCGCAAGATGTCTCCCTCAACTGGCACTAGTTTATTACTAGGTCAACCCTATCCCCGTATCCCCCACCCGGCCGGCGCCGGCCGTTACCTTGACGCTCCACAGTTTGACGGTCCAGTCGATGGACGAGCTGATGAAGAGGTGTGAGAAGTCGAGGGGCCCGCTGGCGGCGTGCGCACTGACGCCGGTCACCGGGCCGCAGTGGCCCTGGTAGACCTCCTGCACGCCGGCCCGGCTGCCGTGGCGGCATGCTGTCAGAATGGGAAGGAAGGGCGTCAGTGAGAGTGTGGAGGAGGGGAAACCCAACGGTCTTACGGGGCCCTGAGACGGCAGAGCCCGCTACAGACTACCAAAGAGGCTGACCGACTGCGTATTGTTAATAGCTAACCTGAGCATACGGACCAAGCCGATTCAGCTGACGACCGTGCAGACATAAATAGATGTCGGCAAGGCCGCTTATTGGTGTAAGCACTAAGCACAATGAAACTGGCGATTGGTACACACAAAATATGAAAGTTTTGGTAGAACTATTTCAGACGATGTCCCTCAGAACGCACCTCAACTGCGAATTAGACCACCAGTCTCCCCAACTGACCTGTGTAGAGGTTTCCGTCCTCACTGGCCACCACAAAGTTGTTGACCTCGCCCTGCGGGAAGGCCAGTCCGGTGACGGGCACTGGCCGGCTCTGCTTGAACTGCAGCTCCATCTTCTCCTGCGGGACACAGACGGGGGTGGGTGACGAATACAGACGGTGCGATAGATAAGTGAGGAAAAGAGACAGTGAGATGAACGAGTGAGGAATGGAGACGGTGGGTGCCGTAGAAAAAATGAAGTGAATAAGAATGGATAGTCCCACAACTGGGATGACCTTTAGAGCATCAACAATAAAAATATCAGGGACAGGTGATGATGCTTATCACCAACTTGCCTATTATAATCGTCCATACTCTTTCAGTGACATGCGTTAGATGGACACCATCTAATTTGGCAATAAGACGTTCTCAATCTAAAGTCGTCACTACGGACGTCACATTCAAATGCTACTCACTGCTGCAGCTTTGACCACTATATTTCAATTAACACAGACCCCAGGTCCTTACCTGCGGCTGAGAGAGCATGTCCAGACTCCAGGAGCAGAGCTTGCCGTCGGTGGACACAGAGATGAGGTTGTGCGCGTTCTGAGTACCCACCACACGCATACAGTACACCGGGTGCTGTGGACGGACATATGAGACGGCTGTCAGACATAGGGTGCAGAGTGCAGACGATATAAAATATATCGAGCGATCGTAACAGACTGATGGAGATCGGATAACAGAGGACCAGAATCACAAGGTTGACATTTCCTGTGTCATGTGAACGAGTTGAAGGGGTCGCACAAGCCACTCAACGCGCCAAGACTGTGTTCGTTGGAGCGCGTTCATAAAAATGCAGTGTTGCTTTGGTCAAAAGAAAAAAAATGGAAAAACCGATACATTTTTTCTAAACAATAAATGAGATTCTATCCGTAATTCCACGCCAATTAGAAAACAGCGACCTATTGAATCGACCAGCGAAAGGCGTTGTCCACACGTTATCTATTGGTATGCCTGTAAAATGTCTATCATTTACATGACAATGACGTGACGTATTGACAAACGTGAACGCCCCCCCCCCCCCACACACACACACATACACGCCCGACCGTCGACCGGTGACAGTGTATCCGGTTCAATTACTGGGCCGGCAAGACACGAATGCAGCTGGGAGGGGAGATGAGACAGCGGGAGTTACAATGAGCCCGTCACTACCAGCCAGGGTGGGAGGGAGTGTATCACACGCTGCATCAGTCTGGTCCGATCCCCGCCAGCCCGCCAACTCCCCAGCTGCACTCCGGCACTGACTGACTTATGCTAATCTGTACCCACAAAACATGCCTGTAACCCCTCTCCAGTCCCCCAGTAGCCCTGTGCGCCCTGATGTATGTACCCCCCCCCCCCCCCACTAACCGTGTGCGCCGCTGTGGATAGCGGCGACCGCTGGACCGGTGTCCGCCGCTGTACCCGGTTATCCCACAGCACGATCTGTCCCGAGTAGGTGCCGCCGAGCAGCAGGTTCGGGTGGAAGCGCGCGAACGACACACTCATCAGCGGCGACTGACAATGGAAGATGTACTCGGGCGTGTCCTTCTTGAAGCGCGTGTTCCACACCAGGCACACGCCGTCCGGCTCGTGCGGCGCCGACTCGTTGTTGTTGTAGCTGTAGGTGAAGTGGAGGGGGAGGGATGTAGCTATGTGGGAAATGACGGTCTCGGTGAGGTATCACGTCGATCTAAATGTCTAACCAACATAAAGAGAAATCAAGCCTATTTGCACTAAAATGTGGCTAAAATGGAAGGAATCATATCATCGCGACACTGCTGAGATGAGAGACTCATATAATCGCATAAAACGCCAACAATATAAATCCCGTCTCACCTGGCGGCCAGCAGCTCGGGGAACTGGGGCGACCAATCCAGTGACGTCACGGTCCGGTGCTGCGACCAGCGCTCGTCGAAAAACACCCGGTTCACTGACAGCTGCTGGCCGGACTTGTCGTCCCTGTGCGCAGAGGTGAAGTTAATTATAGCGGCAGTACAGTCTGTCTTAAAAGTACCGCGCAAAGTGACGGTGGATCCATCGAGCCTGACTGAGCCAGGGCCTGCTAAATTTGGGTCACCGAAGCAATTGACATCCTTGTCCATTCCCTAGGTCAATTGGTCGGTGACCTTCAAATTAAAACAGGCCCTTTCTCAGTCAGGCTTGATGGATCCACCGTCACTTTGCGCGGTACTTTTAAGACAGACTGTACACTGCGGTATTAGAACTTCCATAACAAATACGTGAAAGACAAATATTTCGAGTAGCAGTCTCTGCTTGGTTTTGGGATACACAGACGATTAAAAATGCCAGCCCAGTGATGTATCATTGCAGAAGAAAAATACAAAACGGTGCAGTGTAAGGCGCTTCCATAAGTATAAGGCGCAGTATAAGCTCTTCTACCAATGGTCTCTTCAAGAAGATCCAAATACAAACTTCAAACGTCATCCTTTCGCGTTACTCGTTAACCGTCCTCGCCTCATTCGTCGTAAGTCAGTTCCCTCGCCCTCGTGACTGCTAAAACCATACTTGCCGTCAAAGTAGCGACGTCAGCCTCCCAGCCCCTCGCCGTCCCCGCTGACTCACATCATGCCGTCGTCGTCAAAGTTACGGCTGTAGTCGCTGTAGAGGTCCCTGTCCTCACAGAGCACGCGCTCCACCACGCGCGACTGCCGGCTGAAGAACTCGCTGAACTCGGCCGACATCATGATCAGCTGCTTCTGCTCCTCACTCAGCTCCCGCGCTGTGGGGGTAGTGGTAGTGGTCAGCAGGGCTGCGGAGTCGGAGTCGGAGTCGGAGTCGGTCAGAGTCGACAGTTGTGACCGGAGTCGAAGTCGGAGTCGATTTTAGAAACCCGAGCCGGAGTCGGAGTCGGAGTCACCGAAAATCTGTCGACTCCGCAGCCCTGCTAGGTCTGCGGAGTCGGAGTCGGGAGTTGGAGTCGGTCGGAGTCGACAATTCTGCCGGGAGTCGGAGTCGGAGTAGGAGCTGGTTTTTGAAAGCCGGAGTCGGAGTCGGAGTGGGAGTCGCCGAAAATCCATCGACTCCGCAGCCCTGGTGGTCAGATCAGACTGAGTCCCCGCTCAGCTCCCGCGCTGTGGGGTAGTGGTAGGGATCAGACTGAGTCGAGTTCAAGCAATTAACTTTATGGGACGTCATATGAAATTCAGATCACCTACGTTTATCTTGGGTTCAAGTGTAACAATTACCCTAGGGTGACTTAAGCACCTATTAACACGAACCTACCCCTCATAGCATGCTTCTCCGGCCTGCTAGTGCAGCTGTTGGAATTATCATTTTCGATACGTAGTTCCAATTACACTGCTCCCTATCCCTCCCTGCCACTGACGCTCGGGTTTTTAAGGTTTTGTCGGCGATTTCTCGGCTTTACGTTGACCCTCCCCGCCACCCACCACTAACAACGTTTTTTTTTTGCCCCGACATCGATTTCTCAGCTATTCGTTGCCCTCCCCCCGCCACTAACGTTCGGGTTTTTTGGGCTCCGCCGGTGGTTTCTCTGCGGCGTCCGGCTGCACGGTGGCCGGCTGGACGTCGGTAACCGTCGGCATCCCGTGGTGAAGGATGCCGGGTGGCAGTCGGCGTCCCTCCAGGCCGGTCAGACTGGCGTCCTCCAGCTCATCGCCGTGAGGCTCGTCGTACGTTAGCACTGCGGCACGGAACGGGGGACGGGTGTTCAGAGCGGGGGTACGATGAATTTATGTCTCATTCATTCTAGGATGAGTGATATTAAGCGCTCAAAGGAGGTCAGATCGTGGTAAAAATACTTGCTTTAGCGTGCTAAACGACTCTCCGCCAAAAGAGACCGGCAGCAAAAGCATCTAACATTAGCAAATGTATCTTCAATGAACAAAATTGACAGGATGCATAACTTGAGCGGACATGCTGTTGAGAAAAGCAGGGAGATAGGATTCAGCTGCGAAAGGGTGCAATATCGCAGATAAAAATCATAAATGATTATTCGATAATTAGTTCGGCCATCAACTTACCATAGTAATCGAAGCCGCCAGGACGCGCTGAAAAAGATGTCAACAAGAACTCCGTTAGAACATGGACACGACAGTAATAATCAGACGTCACACATCAGGGAAAATTGTTACGCAGTGAACATACAATGGTATTTGTATCGATAATTTGAACCAATGTCCAAGACATCAAACGCTACAGTGCACCATGCACTGTAGCACTGACATACAGTGCTACAGTCCCATGTCTACAATCCCATGTAGACGATATGGGATTGGCCCAAATTGTTCAATCTATTCACCCCGTCGGCCCCGGGAGCGAGCAGGGGGTAGCACTTACCGGTCTGCTCGGGACCCGACGCCGTGGTCTGGGTCTGTTTGCAGTTACAGGTTTAGATCCAGTCTGGGTCTGTTTGCAGTAGGTTTGGGCCAGCTCTGGGCCTGTGTATTACTCACCCGTCTGCTCGGGACCGGAAGCCGTGGTCTGTGTTTGCTTGCAGTAGGTGACGCTCTCTTTCGGAGGTATACTGGTCGAGTGGACCTGGACAACCGTCAGATCTGGCGGCTTCTTCCTGCGGGGACGTGAGGGAACTCACATAGCGCAAAGGAACATGAACAGACAGATACGGCGTATAAGATCAGCAATCAGCATGTCCTTACAGGCGCCTCGTCACTGTTTGAATCAACGGTCTCATCCAGGATCAGACGAGATAACAAATGTCAGCCTGGAATGAGCACCAGTTGAGCTTATCAACCAACAGGCCCTTCTCGCCTGGCGAACCGACCAAGTGGCCCCGTGCCTACCTGACTATGATGGGTGGACGCCTACCTGGCTGCGGTGGGTGCTGGTGCCGGCTGTGACAGACTGGACGGCTGTGAGCCGCCCCCTTCAGAGGGCTGCAGCGACCCCCCGCTCGGCGTGGCACTGATGTCTGACACATCTGAGGGGAGACGATGGTCAGTTCGCACGTCACAGACTGCTACATGGACCGTCACCAGTAGTTATAATATGGTAAGAAGCACAGCAGTTCAAATTGTGATTGACTGCTAGTTGGCACTTTATACCACTTGACACCTGCTGAGGCCATGACCCCACAGTGTGACTGACCTGAGATAGGTGCGATGCCTTGTTTCCGGAGCTCCTCGTCAAGGCTGGCGCGGTCCACAGGTCCGGGCCGGGCCACACTGGGCGAGAGCGACTGACGTGCCAGCTGCGGGCAGCGACAGTAGGGTAGTGATCAGCGGCAGTTGGGATAGGTCACCGACAGTCTTCTGCGCACCAAACATCAGTTGACTGCCCCAGGTGAAGAGCAGTACCAGACAGTGTCCTTCTGGCTTCTCAGCAACTAGCAGCCTTTCAAGAAACAAAATATGCCTACCACAGCTTTCGAGATATACAAATAAATGGTATACTAAAAAAGTTATTATAAATGTGAGTAAGGGCAAACCAGTGATGGAGGAATACAAACCATTCTATAACTTTTTGGTGAAATCATAATTCTGCTAGGATGCACTATCCATGCACAATGCCCTTAAGACCCTTATGACAGCACATGAGTAAAGAGGTGGATTCCGACATATGCAGCATCTAAAGCATCTTACCGCCTGTTCCTTTTCCTGCTGTCTGCGCTGCTTCTCATCTCGAAGGGCCTGCAGACGCGCCTTCTTCCTCTCCAGCTCTGCCTTCCTATCTGACATACTCATCTTGAAGCTGTAAAAGAAGAGTTAACATTTTCAGCCAAATAACAAAGTCAAATACAACAGGCAAATATTTCATTATGCTGGGAATTTGACTTGGTTACCTATCCCTTTCATGAAAATTGCGGCTTTCTAAAAAATTACAGAGTTAGACAAATTTTAGGTATGAGATTTGCCTCCTCCCTCATCCCAAATGAATTGGATTTTTGGATGAGGCTCTCTCTGGTAAAGACATTATTGGTGCACGTAAAAAAAAAACACGTGGGTGTATTTATTTACCTACCACCAGTTATAAGTGATGTGGAAATAATTGGGCGAAACTTCAGTAATAATTGCAAGTAGAGAGCAAAAGGCATTTATAAACAGTAATTTTAAATGTGTCCCCAATGGTTTTTCATTTGAAAACAATGCTCATCTTTAAATCGGTAGCAGCACGCCATCAATCATCAACTGTTACGACTCACAAACAGCTTAGTTCTTCATAGAGATGTTCCTGAGGCTGCTCTAAAGCAGCTCTCCTTGAAGCTCATCCAACCTCCTATTATATTTTTTAGATCAACCATAGGAACAGACAGGGGCACGGGAACTACTTTTAGACTGGGGAGCACACTAAAATAGATATCAACCTAGGGTATCCCCAAATCTAGTTTTCTCATTGGTTTTAGGCCACTTATTTTTCATCCCTTGGCTTTTTCATAAAAAACATTTGCAAAAAGTATGATATTCCGTCTTAAAGTTGTGGGGGCACCGCCCCAGCGGCCCCAGAATTGGGCGGGGGGGCAAGCTGCCCCCACTCCCCCCCGGTCCCGCACCTATGGGAACAGACGCATTGGTTACCAATGGGTTGGGGTGGTTTGCTGCTGTCTGAGTGGCATCTTAGTCTTTTGGGTCACTGGGTGTACTTAGAGCATTTGTAAGCAGTTCTACACTTCACTGTCAACTTCATTATTTTAAGCATACTTGTAAATTCAACTTTTTACATTTCAAACACCTGAACGTCCAGGCTTTTAACATTGAAATAGGCCTGGAATAAATGGCATAAAAGGAAACCACACGATGAGTCCGAGTTTATGACATCCTCCTCTATTCTTGATGAGAGTGACCCAACCATATAGGTAAGGCTCTCATAAACCAATATTTCCTACGGATATTTCATACCAACCTTTCTTTTGGCTGGATTTCAGGTTATTTACTTCTAATCACTCATTGCATTGCCATGAATCGCACCACCGGCAAACACAAAAGGGCGGGGAAACAACAAAAAATGAAGGAAATGCGAAATACTTCCGTAACACAGGTCCAAGGCTATATAAACCAGGTAGAACGTTCCCGACGAAAAAGTGGTGACAAGCGATAATTAGTAGCCGCGACCCTCACTTGTTCAAAACTATATCCGCAAGCAGCATTTACAGGCTAGCGGAAATCGACCAATCGGCGTTCGGCAATACTCGACGCTGATTGGCCCGATGCTCGTGACGAAATTGCGGGGGACTGTAGCTATTCCCCTATGGCGTTTAATAGACTTACGGCTTTTGAAGGGGATTTATACCAGTTTTTGTTGGGTTTGAGGCCATTTTTGAGCTTGGATATTCTTTCTGTGACTTTTGACTGTGTAATAACGACATTTAATCATGACATTCTATATACTACCGGTGTCACATCGGCCAAAAAGACCGTAAGTACATGGGATAGACGGACCACTGCTGATGGGGCCACACATGTCGGCGTGTGGTCATCGGAGGTCCGTGAGGGTTCGACATAGGCCCTTCATGGGTCGGTATAGGCCCGGTGGGTCCAGTGTGCAAGCCTATCGGGGGCCGGTGCTGACCCAACAGGGCCCAGTGGCATATAATGTAAGGCTGTCTAGGCCGACGTTGAGGGCTCATGGGGGCCATATAGGACCAATAGGGACCACATCAGTCAATCAGGGGCCATTTAGGCCAATAAAGGCACTTCAGGGGACTTGAAAAGGTCATTCAAGAGCTGTGGTGGGCCCATGAGGGGACGGCATTGGTCCAGCAGGTGCAGTCAGGGGATGTTGTACGGGTTTCTCAGTGGCCCATTTGGGCATATCAGTGACCAATTTGGACCCAGCAGAGGGCTTTGTAGACCTATCAGGGGCTGGTGATGGTTCATCAGGGGCCAGCGTTAGTCCATCGGGGCACGGCATATGCCCATCAGAGGTAATTGCGAGCCCACGCTGAACAATGATGGCCCTTCAACGGCCCCTAATGGATCTACATTGACCCATGGGCCATGATGTGTCATGTATGCCCCTATGACAGGCCTACTCAGACCCCTGATGGACATTCCCGGCCTCTGATGACCCTATACTGAATGCTAAAGGGGCTCTAAGTTTCTCCAATAACCCTTCGTCAACCCATTATTACCATACGCTGGCACTAGGGGCCCCACATCAGCCGCAGGGCAGTCCGTGCCATGACAGCATATGTCTTTTCGGCCGATATTACATCGGTAATATTTATTAAAATCATGATTTTATGGTGTCATTATATAGCTAACAGTCATAAGAAATATATTTCAACTCGAAAATAGCTCCAAACAGCATATAATTTTAAAGAAACTCCTCCGAAATCCAAAAGCCTATTCGGGTCCATAGAGAATAACTGCGGTCCCCCGCAATTTCGTCACCAGCGTCGGACCAATCAGCGTCGAGTACTGCCGAGCGCTGATTGGTGAATTTTCCGCTAGCGTGTAAGTACTGCTCGCGGAACAAGAGTTCGTCGACAATCCTCCACAAACGTCTGTCACCATTTTTCGTAATGCTAAACAGCCGGAGCGTACCCCCCTGCACAGGTCCCAAGTTATCATTATTTAATTTTGTGACGTCATTGAAATGTAACACGCAAGAGAAACAAGAGCATTTGCTCTTACCCCTCAGGCTCAAATCATTGAATGACAACTTCGATTGGACATTTGAGTTTTCTGTATTCATATTTAGCCTTCTTTGCTTCAACAAAAGACAGGAAAGCCAGTTGCCAGTGCCACTAGCCTTCTGGCAGCACAGCACACTATCATTATGCTCAATTTATGACGTCATTCAATTTCAGACTTCAAACTGATTGTGAATTTGACTGTGTCCTCAAAGTTTACGTACGTGGCGCTTATGCTACATTTGTATGTTCGCTAAGCTAAAATACAGCTATCTTTTATCTGACATGTAAATATTACACTTAGCTCAAATTACCGATCCACTTGCGCAAAGAAAATTTTGGATACTCATAAAATTAGGATACCAACTCAACAAATATTGCTCTGGGACCCCAGTAATTCGTTATGCGCCTCAGACGAGTTCCCGCCTCAGCTTGCGGTGCAGCCTAGGCTGCACCTAGGTAGGCTAGGCTGCCTTGCTGCAGGCATCGGCCGGCCATAAGCTAGCCCGCATACACCAGCAACCGCGTTTGGATCCGCTCAAGTGTCCGCCGTCTAAATCCATTCAATATTTCAGGTGGCGAAAGAAACCGTGATTCACAGATAGGTAGTACATCAGTAAGACTGGGGTCGCCAGTCGGCCAATTGCCAATTATCATCGGTACCTATTGTCGATGCAATGGTATTACCTAAATTCCGTCAGGCGAAGCTACCTTTTTGATAGACCGGATCGGACGGATACTTGCCTTGCCCTTCTTTGAGATGGGACCAGGACAAATTTCAGTTTGTCAGTCCTTAGAAACGTTACGGCGTCAGTCTGGCATTCTTCCGACATCATATCTCAATGTTCATCGCGACCGTTACCTCAATAATACAAGATTGTTTGGTCTGCCCGCTTAGACCGGTACTTCGCTGGCTCTTTCCGGCCCAAAAACCGCAGCTAACGGTGGTTCTATCCGACTTATACCGGCATTACCGTACAATCTCGCAGTGCCATCTCGCTCTGAACACGTCTTCAACAACGGGGCGAGTGGCGCCCCGGCTCACGACTGAATCACCCTCGCCGCTCGCGTGATCGTGGTCTGCAGTTGCACCTACCCTGTCCGTCTCAGACTTGTTTTGCCCCTCAGCCTGCCCTGGCCCTTCCGGCGACTCTCCAATTCGTCTGTCCGTCTGTCTATTCCGTGTTCGTTCCCACGTCTGTCTATCCGGTGTCCGTCTGTCCTTATCATCCGTCCGTCCGTCCGTCCGTCTGTCCGTCCGTCTACCCGCTCGTCTGTCATCCAGTGTCCGTCCGTCCGTCCGTCCGTCCGTCCGTCCGTCTGCCTGTAATATCCAGTGCCTGTAATGTCCACGGCTCGTCTGCCTGCGCGCCTCTCTCTCTCCGTTGTCCCTCCCGAGTGTCCAATTCCATCCTCCACCCGTCTCGGTCCCGTACCTCAGGACAGGCTGGTACCGAAGCTGGCCTCCATCGCCAATCCTGATCAGCCGGCCGGCTGAGAGAGCTCTCAGTGCCAGCGGCTCATACATTACGCTCGGCGATAGGATCGCTGCCGAGCGGCCCGGCGCCGTCTCCGGGAGGCTCCACGTGCCGTCCGACCGGCTGGCCGGCCCTTGTCGCCACGGAGAGCCGTCCGGAGGGGCGGAGCGCGCCGGAGCCAGGTGTTTTTGTCGCCAGGACAACCGGGAGTGATCCGGCAGCCACGGTGGACGGTGGACTCCGCACGGAGGGACGGCGCCGGTGGCTGTTTTTGTCAGGGAGGATGAAGGACGTGTACCGGACCGGTGGGCGTTGTGTTTTCAGCTGACAGCTAAACCCTGGCCACTGATATGATCGTCCCGTCCCGCGGGGCGGTTCGCTGGTCCGTCGGGTGCATACCTACCGCTGCGGACCGCGCCTCGTGCGCGCTGCCCGGAGCTCCAAACTGACCGGCGCTGAGGCGGCCACCTTTCGCCGGCGGTACCGGGAGCATTCCCGACTGACGGGCCTATCGTCTGTCCATCAGAGCGGCTCTGTAATTGCCCCGACCGGCGGCGGATCCTTCCTGCTGGATATTCCGGCAGTGAACGGAGGAAACTGGCCCGCCGGAGCCCCATTGTTCCATGGCGGCGACATTGAATTTATTGCAGTCACTCCCACCTCGCCGTTAGAGCCCCGACCACGAACCAGGAAAGAAGGATGACAAACGAAAGAATGTGATGCCGAACGTGATAAAAGAGCCATATTTGATGTGTATTCTGTCACCACAAATAAATATCTGACAATCGCACGCTTCCTAGCAAGACTTTCTATCGGTGAGAACATGAAAGGCCTAGCAACTGATTACTCACGTATTCGTCTGCCATCTCAGGCTATCATTCCACATGACCAGTCATCATTCCTGCTGCTAATTGCCCTCAATCATCATCTCGCTAGCCGCCTCTTATGTGGGGCAGGGTCCGTAGAAAGTGGCGATATCAATTAGCCACTACTACTGGGTTTCACCCGTAATGTGCATCTGTCTCTCCACATGGGGTGCCTTCCACGCGAGACATCTCACGCTGCTTCTTATCTGACTCAGTCTATCCGTCTTAGTTTAGAGTGCCTTTAGAAATAAACTGTTGTTCCTCGCTAAATGCCCCAGGACTTCTCCGTGCCTTTTTACGCAGACGGAAGACACCTGCCGGCTCCCCACTCCCGCAGGAGTCTGCCACTGGCGTCAGACCGGCGCGTGCATCCCAGCCAGGAGAGGGCTACACACAGCGCGCACTGTAAGTACCGCGCACCCTCCGCGGAATAATAACACCGGCCGGCCGGCCGCGCATCTCGGCCCACAAAAACACACGGTCCTGTGAGTTGTGGGCCCGTCGGCCGCCAATCTCGGCCCGCCCAGGGGAGGGGGCGGAGCGGACGGAGGGCAGGGGAGAGCCGAGAGTATCAGGGGAGTATGGTGGCACAACCAGGCAGGGAGGGATAGGACCAACTCAGCGAAGAGGCGAGGGTCGGGGTAGGAATAGCATTACCTACAGGTACTGTAGGCAAGAGGCAAAATAACGGTCAAGAACAAATGTATATAGGAAGAAAACAATGCAAAGTTGATGTTTTTTATCTAGATTATCATCATCTTCTTGTGTCGGCAGTTAAAATCGGTAGATTTCTTGGCAACTTATCAGGTTGTGCGATTAAATACCAATCATA